CTCCAGATGGTTCCAGAATATTCCCCGTAGCTCCGCCCGTTACCTTTGGCCTAGAATGAATCCCTACTCCAGATTGGATACCGGTTACCCAGCGGTGGTCGTGCAGATGTCCCCTGTAACCCCCCAGCTGGCACTCTCTCATTACACAATTAACAAAATGTCCTGATCCAAGTGTGCATGCTATGGTGCCTGTTTGGCTAATGCGGTTTCAGGAAAGGGCGGTCGTGCACAGATGCCATATTTTCTGTCCGTCTGCTACAGCAGTGGTGTAGGGAATTCCAACAAGACCTACATCTCTGCTTTATTGACCTGGTCAAGGCCTATGATACCATCAGTAGGCCTGGGCTCTGGGTTGTTCTTCGTGCTTGTGGAGTCCCTGACCCTGTGCTCACGATCATTAAGGACCTTCATGATACTCTTTGGTTCTATTCGGTAAAGTCACGTAGGTAAAAAATAAAACCTTCATGATGGTGAGCGGGCCCGGGTAAAACTGCGTGGCCGGGAGTCAGAGCCATTCCTTGTACACCTTGGGGTGCGAGAGGGATGTCCTCTGGCTCCCACATTATTTAACATCTATTTTGACCACGTAGTTTGTGAAGCCTTCAATAGCTGTACCGGGGGAATCTCCATTTGGTACAGATATAATGGGAGGCTGATCGATGCCCGGGTGCGGTCAAGGGATGGCTCCCTATTGGTCAACCACGTTATGTATGCCGATGATTTGGTAATAGCTGCTCATTCAGAGGAGGAGTTGAAGACGCTGCTGCTGAGACTGGAGCGTGCCACTAAGAGATGGGGCCTTACCATCAGCCCCACCAAAACTAAGCACCTACCTGGGTATTTTGTACCATCGGACACTCCACCCCCACAACTCCCAATCGGTGATGAGGCAGTTGTGGAGTTGAGAGTTTCCCATACCTGGGCAGTGTGCTCATGACTGTCTCCGGTTTAACAGCAGAGGTCTCACTCCGAATCAGCCGAGCGGCAATATCTTTTCATCGGTTGCATAACGCTGTGTGGAAGCTACCTGATCTGTCGCTCCGCACTAAGCTTCAGGTCTTCTCGGCCACGGTCATTCCCTCCATTCTCTATGCTTGCGAAACGTGGACCCCCTTAATGGAACATCTTCACCGGTTAGAAACATTTAGGCTAGCCTGCCTACGATCCATCCTGGGTTTAACCAGGCTGGATTGTGTGAGGAGCTCACAAATCCTTGAAAAATCTGGGCAAGGTCCCATCGGTGAGCTCCTCCGGTAGGCAAGGCTGCGTTGGCTGGGTCATGTAGCCCGCATGCCCAGCCACCGCATGCCGAAACAGCTTTTGTTCGGCCAGATCGAGGGGGCTAAACGGGCGCGGCACGGGCTAGAGAAGAGATGGAGTGATGTGGTACAGGAGGACGTGGAGCTGAGTGGACTTGCCGATGACTGGTACCAGCGGTGTCAAGATCGGCCTCTGTTGGGGAGGCTCGTGAAGGATGCTACTGGGCAGTTGGAGGCAGTCACCCTCCAACAACAACGGAGGGTGGAGGAGCGACGCTCACAACAACGAGCGGAGCGCCAGGTGGCTAAAGCACAGCAGGTTGGCACAGTAGGGGGCACAGGTGGTGCATCAACCAGTCATCTCAGTCAGTCGACCCGTGGCACCTGGGTCTGCCCCGTGACCTCCTGCCAGCGGGCGTTTGACACTTCACGTGGCCTCAAGGTGCACATGGCCTGGCACAAGCATTGTGGTGACGTCACCGCCACTTAGTGGCGAATGGCAGTTGTTGTTGTTTGGCTAACAGATGGTTATTGGCTAATAGGACATCAATTAATTTGCGGGAAAGATTCTGTGATTAAAAGCAAAATCTCAACACAATAGTATTCCTGCGAGTTTGTAGATTCGTAACATAGACGCTTATAAATGTTTAGTGTGTTATCAACTAATTCATTCGTAAGCTTATGCAATTAATGAAAACGAATGACTTAAATACTTCTAAACGACGGTATTCATGTAATGCAATGGACAGAACAATGCTTTTCACGATCAACTAATAGTTAACACCACATTGGGATGGTAACCCTTTTCGAAAGCAAGATAACTTTTTGGAACAATATTATTAGTACCAATATGCACGTTATGTGTGTGTGGGTGTGTTGTCTTCTTGCTAACTATTGAGTTAGCGGCTTCCGAGGTGCAGTGTTCCTTGTACAGAAAACCCCTCAGGTCTCCAGCAGGGGCGCTGGGTTGGCGTGTGTCGAACACGTGGCGCTCTCGGCTGCTTCGTCAGTCTCTCTCCACCACTGGGGTGGTTGCCAAGTCAGCACGCTGGTCACGCTGTCGGCGGTGCCCGTGCTGGCAGGGATGATGGGTCTGGCTCCATCTGTGTCGATGTGCGCGATGATCCCGTCGCCAGACACCGCTCGCAGCTCGTCCTCTGGTTGCGGCGCGTCACCCCCCTTGGCACCAGACACTGTTGATCCTCGTAGACTGTGGAGCGAATTGGACAGACAACGCCTGTCGTCTCCCCCCCCCCCCCCCTTCTTCAAGCGAGTCCTCTTCCAGTTGTCTGTACGACTCGTGCTGCACAGAGGACAAGCTACAGATCAAGTTATATTGGTCCATGTCAGTCTCTGATCCGACCCTCAACTAAACTTCACCTGTGGGTTGCGCTTTAAAGGGGCACTCACGAATAGTGGTTGCACCAGTTTTCCCTCGAAGGGTTGACTTTGATCGGAGCACAATTAGAACGATTGTCACTCTATGATCGTATGTGTTGGTTGTACACAGCGACCTCGCAACCGGGAATAGTAATGCTACAGCACTCTTCCCCACATTTGTTTTGTAATACTGCGAGAACCAGCCTTGGCTGGCAGCCTTTCTCAATGATGCAAAAACATTGATTTAAACGCTCCATGATGCGTGGCTTCTGCTCCCTATCAATTTGCCAGTCACAAGAAAATCTCCGGAGCTTGCCACTCGCAGTACTGATTTATGTTCTTGCCTTCTTGCTTACATCTGAATTTTTCACCTCTGGCTCTTTCTTCTGACAAAGGGGCAGCTGTTTTCCTTTTTAAGTCGCTTGGGCTGGTTGTTGTCCAGATGTCTTTATAACCGCCATGTTTCCGTTCACGTTTTGGGCAGCGTTCCCCACGCTCTCATCACGGGTTGGAAGGGTTAAAAAAAATTCGCCTCAGACTCAAAAAGGGGCGATCTGGCATTTAAAGTCGTGACCTATTGTGCACGGGTTTGCTTGCTGTCGCCATGTTTTCCGTCCTCTCATCACGGGTTGGAAGTTAAACAAAAAAATATTTTATATATCTTATAGCTTGGCACTGTACTACTTTCCACAGTTTTGACTCAGCAAGCGACTCAAAGTACGTTTTGAGCAGCGTTCAAAGCACTCGCGTGGCGTTTTGGAATTCTTGCGTGGTATTTGATAGATTAGGGGGAGGCGTCCTCTGCATACATAATTTACTGCTACCATGTGCTGTTAGCTACTGGAACACAAAGGTGATTGGTGAGGCTCTGATCCCGTGGAATACATATTATCTTGGTCGTGTGTGATTGACATATTTCGCATTGTATCTCTTCTGAATGGCCCTAGGTCTAATACTTTCATAATCATTATTTGGTTCATGCTTAACCAAGATTTGTGGTATACCATAGTTGTTACCAAGGTTATTCCGAGGGTTTATTAACCTTTGTTCCCCGTCTGTATCGCCAAGGATTCTTGCTTCTTATTCTCAAGTTACATTTTCATGTCTTGAGGTTGAAGATATAGCTAAGCTTTTAACTTTACTGTTGTATTTAAAAAAACACCCAGTCAGCTCGTAAGGATTAACTGCCCTTGGGTGGATTTCGCTGTCGAGGGAGGTTTGTGACTCCTGCTGTTTCCGTCTTGTTTGTTTTATTGTGGGTTGTTTCCTTTATGGAGGCCTTCTCTTGAAGTCAACTGGGGATTCCCGCAGAATCTCATGAATCCCACTTAGGGTTTGCCGTTTTTATTACATTGAATGACTTCCCAAGCAGGCTTGTGAGTAATTATCCTCCAGCTGTCTTTGTGTGGCAAGGCAGGAGGCAACGGGGGAGGGGTGAGGGTGACTCACCCTTTCCGTGCCCCAGCGCTACATCCAGATCAAAATAATTACAAAAAAATTGGCAGAATCATTCTTAATATACATTTTTGGAAAAGGTATATAGACAACGTGCTCTTCAAGTGTTTGTGATGCGATATGATACCAAACTCCGAGTTGCTGAGGCGAATAAGCAAGCACCATATAAATGCTAATATTAGTATTATAACGGAGTGAATGCTTGGTAGCTTATTGGCTCTGGCTCCAAGTTAGAGACCTACCCAACCCACAGGTCAGCAAATACTGGCCGCTCTTATTCTGCAGGTTGAACCTAGGAACTGAGAGTTCAACGTCACTTTATTTTCATTAAAGGCCTGTGACAAAGGTGAATCTATTGGAGCTTCATTGTCTCAAGCTTACACATCTACCGGGTCTCCATTTGACTTTGTATTGTCTAAGAAGTCCACCCACACCTCCACTTCCACGAACTGCTGGGAGTTGCCTTGCTCTGCCTCACAGTCAGAATTCTCCTCCTGCTTCACGTTGCCTCCATCGATGTTAAGGTCCAATATTGGAGTTGAATCTTCATCTTCACATTTTATCATCACTTCTTCGCTCTTCACCATCACTTCTTCACATTTTACCTTCACTTCATCGCTCTTCACCATCACTTCTTCACATTTTACCTTCACTTCTTCGCTCTTCACCATCACTTCTTCACATTTCACCTTCGTCACTTCAAATTTCGCCTTGATACATTTCATAGTGTCCAAGCTGGAATTCACTTCTGGTTCTTTTTTCAGGAGGGATGGGCTCATTGTAGCACTTTGACTTTCACAAGTCGATTTCAGACTACACTCCTTGGGGATCTTCTGATGCCTGTGTGTTCTCTGGTGTCTATGAAGATGTGGTGAATGTGAAAACGCCTTCCCGCACACAGTGCACTTGAAGGGTTTATCTCCTGTGTGTATTCTCTGGTGTATTTTAAGATTTGACGACTCTGAAAATGCCTTCTCACACACAGTGCACTTGAAGGGTTTCTCTCCTGTGTGTGTTTTCTGGTGGCACTGAAGAACTGATGACCGTGCAAATGCCTTTTCACACACAGTGCACTTGAAGGGTTTCTCTCCTGTATGTTTTCTCTGGTGCCTTTGAAGACTTGATGACCCTGTAAACACCTTCCCGCACACAGTGCACTGGAAGGGTTTCTCTCCTGTGTGTGTTGTCTGGTGTATTTTAAGATGTGCTGACTCTGAAAATGCCTTCCCACACACACTGCACTTGAAGGGTTTCTCTCCTGTGTGCGTTCTCTGGTGTTTTTTAAGTTGTGCTGACTCTGAAAATGCCTTCTCACACACAGTGCACTTGAAGGGTTTCTCTCCTGTGTGTGTTCTCTGGTGTTTTTTAAGATTTGATGACTTTGCAAATGCCTTCTCACACACACTGCACTTGAAGGGTTTTTCTCCTGTGTGTGTTCTCTGGTGGATCTGAAGATATGATGACTGTGCAAACGCTTTCCTGCACACACTGCACTTGAAGGGTTTCTCTCCTGTGTGTGTTGTCTGGTGTAGTTTAAGATGTGATGAATATGCAAATGCTTTCAAGCACAAAGTGCACCTGAAAGGGTTATCTCCCGTGTGTGTTCTCTGGTGTATTGTAAGATATGATGACTGTGCAAATGCCTTCTCACACACATTGCACTTGAAAGATTTCTCTCCTGTGTGTGTTCTCTGGTGTTTTTTAAGATTTGATGACTTTGAAAATGCCTTGTCACACACACTGCACTTGAAGGGTTTCTCTCCCGTGTGTGTTCTCTGGTGGCTCTGAAGATCTGATGACTGTGCAAACGCTTTCCTGCACACACTGCACTTGAAGGGTTTCTCTCCTGTGTGTGTTGTCTGGTGTAGTTTAAGATGTGATGAATCTGCAAATGCTTTCGAGCACAGAGTACACTTGAAGGGTTTATCTCCCGTGTGTGTTCTCTGGTGTATTGTAAGATATGATGACTGTGCAAATGCCTTCTCACACACATTGCACTTGAAAGATTTCTCTCCTGTGTGTGTTCTCTGGTGTCTTTTAAGATGTGATGACCATACAAATGCCTTCTCACACACAGTGCACTTGAAGGGGTTCTCTACTGTGTGAGTTCTCTGGTGGCTCTGAAGATCTGATGACTGTGTAAATGCCTTCTCACACACATTGCACTTGAAAGATTTCTCTCCTGTGTGTGTTCTCTGGTGTTTTTTAAGATTTGATGACTTTGCAAATGCCTTCTCACACACAGTGCACTTGAAGGGTTTCTCTCCTGTGTGTGTTCTCTGGTGGCCCTTAAGAACTGATGACTCTGTAAATGTCTTCTCACACAGAGTGCACTTGAAAGGTTTCTCTCCTGTGTGTGTTCTCTGGTGTTTTTGAAGATTTGATGACTGTGCAAATGCCTTCTCACACACAGTGCACTTAAAGGGTTTCTCTCCTGTGTGAGTTCTCTGGTGCTGTGTCAAATTTCCAGTATGATCCGTGCTATTTGCATACTGGTCGCATTCTTTCCTTATTGCACCGAGCTGCGCTGAGTGCCTTTGCTCCATCAGACCAATTCTGCAGAGGAAGTGTCAGCTGCCGACAGAAAAACATATTCACACCATCTACGTCAGTATTGAGGCACAGAGGAATTAATATATAGTCACACATGACTTACACGTCTATACTTATTCATATATTCATGATGAAGTTGAAAAGATTCCCCAATTCATCACAGGGGCTGTGAAGCCACACAATGAGAGGGAAAATGGTCATAAATGCCTGGATGCCCTAGTATCTTCAAAATGAATGTTTACCCAAAACTCAAAGCACACAATTTCGGCTATCTAGCGACAAAAGGAATATTTAAGAAAAATTCAGCTAACATAGGAAAGGGTGTGAAAGTAATACTATTTGTATTATGCAGAAATGTATAAATGAATGCTAAATCGAAACTTTGAGGTGTGAAGCCAGGGTCAGATTTGCTTGAATGCTCGGATGAACAGATCTAACTCCAGCTGCATATGTCCTGAGATATTTTCCTGACTTTCCATTCTTATAAAAAGTCCCATAGGAAAACTAAAACAAACTATCGTTTTGATTTAACCTCCATGTTCAATAGTTAATATACATTACTGCAAATACAACCTTGACCCTGTCACACACTGGCATGGTAAAAAGGTGGTGGTATGTCCAGAACCATTCCTTGCGCCTTCATCTGCTCAGTATTAATGCTTCCTCACTTTACCATGTAATTAATTTAAGATCAATCAACATAGCAGAGGCCCACAATAAGATCTTCTTTCACTTTCACTATGTAACACATTTTTTGTCCCTGGGTAGCAAGTGTTATTTTTTAATTGGTTATTCCTAAAAAGTATTCCTCAGAAACTGTGCTTTTGTGATCAGGACTTTATGTAAAGGAATGACACAAATGCACATGTTTTCTCATTGAAAATAGGTACATTTCAAAATATCACTGTCCATTTTCTGTACTTTTGAGGCATAAGAAATTAGAAAATAACATTTACTACCCAGGAACAAAAAAATGTAGTTACACAGTGTTATTAATGGATTGGATGATTAACTTGCTTTTGTGTCCTGTTCACAAAAGCAAAGTTTATGGGGAATAATATCAATTTTCTGTACTGTTGAGGCGTAAGCAATTAGAAAATAACACTTACTACCCAGGGACAAAAAATATATTTTTTGTTACAGTGTTATCAATCATGTTTGCTGTCGGTGATAATCAAACTAATTTTTAGTTCATAATGCAGTGAAATAACTGCACTCCAGCTCCCCACAAAGAGTAACACTTAAACACACATACATTTCACATGGATCATTAACATATTATATGAACAAAACATCCACCATTCATGACGAACTGGAAGTAACCTTATGACAATGCTAATGCCATGATAGGTGCAATTTAAGGCCATGTAAGTGTGGATTCCTTGTCAGCAGATAATGGGAATGATCCAGGTGTCAAGGGATGACTGACAGATGAAACAGCTGTGCTCCCCACTGTCTTGCTGGGTTTTAAGAACACAGCTTTCCACCCTTTAATGTGAGTGTCACTCCTCCGACCTCATCGTTGTTGCAGAGCAAATATCTCCAACTGCCCTGCAGCATACCTCACGGGCCTCCTCCACAGAGGCCAATATTGACACTACTGATACCAGTCATCGGCGGTTCCTATCACATCCACATCCTCCAATCTCTTTTCTAGCCATAGCCATGCCTGTTTAGCCTCTAATATCTAGATGAACAGAAGCTGCTTGAGCATGCAGTGTCTGGGAATTCGGGATTCATGACCGAACCAATGCAGCCTCGCCTGTCAAAGAGACTCATGATTATAGTCTATATTAAGGATCTGTAAGCTTAATACAAAATAGTCTCGTTGAATCAAGGATGAATCACAGGCAGGCCAGCCTTAATTGTATAAGCCAGCACAGATGGTCATTTAAATAAGTTCATATTTTGCATCCACAGAGTAATATCTGTGGCCAAGAAGAATCACAGCTTTGTTGGTTCGTTTCTAAAAACGCTTGTCCTGGTGATGGTCGCGGTGGCAGCATGCTGAGTAGGCGGTCCAGGCCTCCCTGTCTGGTAGAGTTCCAGGGGAAGTCTATTGGGGTCATCCTTACATATATTCTATTAATATCACTGCTAGAGCCTGGTCCAGAGGTTGTGTGGTCGCCAACAAACGACTCGTGGACGCGTGACCAATGTAACCCAGTCGGGCCAGCTCAAAATGGCTACATGGTGCCATCCTATGCACCAAACATCCGTAGGATGAAGGGTGAGGGGCAGGTGCGATGCCAGTATGGCAGGAAGAGGGATGGTCTCAGGCGGGCTAGACCTTAGCGATGGACACTCACAGCTTTGTATGGAGCAAAAAAGTACAGGCACCTTCCACACAGTGTTACAGTCTAATGAAAAAATGCTGCTTGACTAATTTTAAGTGAGATTCTGACTGCCAAACCAGAGCTGGTTGTGAACACATTAACCAGGTAAGGAAGCTCCTCCACCACTTGTAGACCTGCCTGATTATTCATGGAGAGTTGAACAGGTGCAGTGTTGTATGGCATGAAATTCCCAGGCAGGTGATTTATTTTTGTGGAACATTTGCAAGGCCCCATTTCATGATGGAATTATCAAGCCACAGAACAAGATTCCCTAAATTCCATCTCATTAAGTAACCATTACCAGATCATCAGCAGATGTAACATAGTTGACCAGCAGGGAACAATCCTTTAACTATAACCAGGCGTCAATTAGCGTATCATTGTAACCGCAACAAATGTAATGGTTTTTACATGACCATTGGGAGCTTCCCAAACTACATAGTTATTGAAGATGCTATGTAATGTAATGCATGGGGCCAGAGTGAATTTCTGTCACAAGCCAAGCTGAACAGGATATGGCTTCGATTCCTGGTCATGCATCTTTAGACCATCCTGCCCAAAATAATACAAATCCGCAAATAATGTGAGCAGAGGCATAGATTTGAAAACAAATAACCCAAAGCCCCAAGCCTATTTATGGTACATATCGGCCTTAATTAAATCAAGAATGCAGAGATCTAGTTTCTGTTGAAAATCCGTACACCTCTGCTGTAGTCAATAGACAAAAAAATACAGCAGCCCCTTGCATATCGCGGAGGTTACGTTCTTGGAAATTGACGGGCGAAAGCTAAAAGCACGATATTCTATAATTAAGCCTTACCGGAGTAATGGCGTTAGGTAAACTTCAACTAAAATTGACAACATCACAATTGAAATAGGTACTGTACTGTATTCCAAATAAACTAAACAATTGAAATAACATGGAGAAACCGTATACAATAAATACTCCAAGACAAGAAATAGTATAAATCTATAAAGATAAAGCAGACTTTGCGCTTGTGTAGATTTTTTTGCTAACCAAAATGCGCAAACACACCCCAAACCTTCCATGCGTACTCACAGGTGAGTTAGTGGTGTGCGTTGCACTATTTTTATCTTACCTACTCACCTTCAACACCTGTAGTACCACCTGTACACTCCAACCCCTCCCGCTCCTCACCTCCCCCCTCTCTTTCTCTTGCCATGTGTTAAAGCCCGGGAGCATTCTCACTACTTACGGTTTTCCACACATGCAAACACATTATGACATTTCATATCCTACAATTCCACGCACTCACCATAACATAAGTGTCTCCACTGCACTGCTATATTTGTTCTCATATTTACCACGTTATCCTTCCCTATTATCAGCCCTGCGTTTTTGCCGCCAAATTTATCCACTTCCGGCTCCTTACTGTCCTCTCTGCACGTGCCCGGCTCGCCTCTAAAACAAACTGCAATATTTATTTTTAAAAAATAGGTACTATTCTAAAATATTTACATCTACGTACCAACACTACCGACCTCCTTCTACATAACATAAATGCTATACAACAGCTACGACTAAATACATCAAGTCTACATCGCCTGGTAAGGAATAAAAAGCATGCAAATACATGCAATAGCGTTCAAATAATGATACATGTACACAGACCACCACACACATACTATTAATACCAACAACAAGCACTACAAACAGTTACTTTGTTCCTTTGCGGCTATGGCTTCACATTCCTAAAACGATTACACATTCAACTATCATTTCCTTAATCTCTATACAGCATTCACACACACACTCACTATTTACTCTTTTTCATTATTAACTTTGACCTCCACCTATGCTCCTCGCGGAAAACGTGCGCTTCTCTTCACCAAAGCCAATTACAATATCATGGGACATCCTTTGCCAGTACCAAAATACGAGAATAGGTTTCCCCCTTTTTTTTCTGGCAACAAACAGGTGTTAAGTTATTAGAACACCAAACTGAAACCTTTTTACGAGGAATCATGTCTGCATTAACCACAAAACTTGTGGTCAGAATGCAAAAAAAACATACTCTTGATAGTATATGCATTGTTAAATGCAATTTCAACCGAGAAGATGGATTCTGGCTTAGTAACCATTGGAAAGATGTTATAAACCATTTCGGTTCTTAATTGATTGTATTTTACGGTGACCTTCAGACCGCAGCCCTTTCGCTGGCATTGCCTCTTAATACCTCTCACACCACGGTCAATGGTATGGTTTATAACATGTAGTATTAATAGTATAACATTGCAATGTTTAACATAACTCATAAGGCAATATATATCATTGTAATTGCATAGTGAATATACAGCAGTGTGGTATATAGTTGGGTTCATAGAATAAAAGATAGTGTAATGTCACAAGTCTAATATTCAATTTCGATTAATATTATTATTGTGTTATTTTATTTGAGCAATTTATTCTTTTATTCTCATTCTACGTGACTTTACCGAAAGAACCAAAGAAGAAGTCTAATATTTTATAGTTTAAAGTATAGGGTAGTGTAAAGTAACGCATTGTATAATTCAAAGGTGGAATTTGTCTATAGATATGATGTTATACCATGTAGTTTAGATTGGAAGCTATAATATTGTATTATATAGTAGTCCAGTTTATAGCATAGTCATAGGGCAACTCAGGACACAGCAGCGCACCTTGGCTGTTTATCTTGTTTTTCTTGTCTGTATTTCCAGCCCCCTCCCTCCTCCGCTCCGGAGTTGGTGCTGGTAACATGCAAAAACAAATTTTAACTCCGCCCACACAGCTTAATAGACGCGGTCCATGCTTGACAGCGTTCATTCAAGCTCTGTCTTCACCTGAAGGAGGCCACTTGTGTTGTGGCCGAAACGTCGTGAGAATTTTATTGTTTTCTTTTTATTATTTTATTTCCATTCTACGTGACTTTACCGAAAGAACCAAGAAGATATATGCATTGTCTTTGAAATCAATTGGCCCACACCATACAGCTTTCTTTTGAAGCCTAGTCTCAAAACGGTGTTAGACCAGAGGACGCCAAAAGGCGTACAGCACAAAGACAAGCATTATCAGAGTAATGCGAGCTCGGGGTGAGCAACTACATCATGTTTTTGTTTGCATTCTGACCACAGGTATTGTAGTTAATGCAGACACGATTCCTTGTAAAAGTTTTTTTTGTTGCCAGAAAAAAGGGGAAAAAACCTATTCTCCTATTTTGGTACTGGCAAAGGAGGTCCCATGAAATAGAAGATATAACTCATGCTTCAAAATTACATGTTTTGACACCAACCAATTCATCCCGACATCTGGCTACATGCCCACATTTAAAGTGCAGGGCCAGGTACATAAACGCATTGGCAGTCTGCTGCCACTACCTAATGACCAACTTACATTACCACAGATCTACTTAGATGTCTGACAATACTAGACAGGCTCACCAGCATTGCAAAAAATGTTATCAACACCAAGATGCAAGTCATTGCTGTGGCAAGACATGCTCCATAAGAAAAACTCTTCATGTTCACAGTTTCAAGTGTGCCATAGAGAAGATGACTTCAGAGTACAATGTTGTCATTCATGCCGACTAAACTCCAGTTGGTCAACATGAGTGCCGCTTAAATGCACTCACATCTGAAGTCGCTGTCATGATGACTGCTGAACAACATGTCACTCAAGGCATCGTCTTGCAACTGAGGAACAATACACTAAACAAAAATGAAACAACGATCCTATGATTCTTTTCAATGTCTACATATTTTCTGGCAAGGTGATGATGGTAACAATTTCCTACTTCGCCAAAGTGACCCAGCAACAGGCTTGTCAACACAAAATAAGATTTCCGCCATGGACTTCTTTGCCTTCAGTATCATGGTGCGAAAAGCCAGCTTCGATCTCTTCTTGAGATGCAAAGAGCTCTTCCACCAATTTGCTGTCGACATGTATGCCAAAATTGAAGCTTCATTCGATTAAACCCACCAGATAGAAAAACATCCAACATTGTCTATGAAACTCTCCAAGGGCAACGAATTTAAAAGCCGTCTTACGGATATATATTTGGAGTTCGCGTGTCTCTCTCCCCGTGGTCGCGTGGATTTTCCTCCGGATACTCCGGTTTTCCCCTCCACATTTAGAGTCAACATCACCACGCGTTTAGAGTATTTGACAGATATGCATTTAAACACGTTGATAAGACACTTTGTTGTGGGCAGGTCGCTTCTGAAAAAGAGCGGTATAGCAGCTCAAGTAGGCTATGCCTGGTGAAATAAAAAAAACTGTATAAATATTTAAAAGAAACAAAGTTTCAAAGTAGTGAGCCAGGTGAAGACAAATTAAACTTCAGCAGAGAATTAAAGCAAATGCAATCAGGCGAGGGCAGGAGGCAAGGCCCCGCGTTGTAATGTTCCAACCTGGACATCGATTCCATAGTCGCTGCTACTCAATTAATATCCCTACGAGAGAGAGAAGGAGCGAGGCTCTACCTGGGTAAACAACAACAACCACAACAACAACCACCACCACGATGTGAACTTCTCACCTCGGATCTCAGTGAGCGCGCGCGCAGTGCAGCAGCTTCCTGGTATCTTGTGACGTCCGCGGCAGCAGGTGACATGACGTCACTTGCGGGGTTCAACACATAATCCCCTCCCCCAATGAGCGGCGATGTAATTAAATAAATTTTGTTAAATTTCGATTTAAAGCTTTCGTGACTGCAATGATTCATCTTCCTTGGTTCTTTCGGTAAAGTCACGTAGAATGAGAATAAAATAATAAATTGATAAAATAAAATAACACAATAATATTCTCACGACGTTTCGGCCACAACACAAGCGGCCTTCATCAGGTGAAGGGACGAGACTGTCTGGTAGGACAGCGCTAGAGTGAAAGAGCCACGTTCAGATCACGACCTTTAAGCTGTGTGAGAGGAAACAAAGCGCCTTGACAAAGGAATTAGCATATAATTTAGCATTGAAATGGCTGAGTGATTAGCTTGTGACTGGTCACAGAAATAGCTATGTTAAAAGTTAAAGCATACACATCCTCAGAGGCACCCCTTGATAAAGGAATTAGCATAGAATTTAGCATTGAAATAGCTAAGTTAAAGCATACACATCCGCAAAGGCACCCCTTGACAAAGGAATTAGCATAGAATTTAGTATTGAAATAGCTGAGTGATTAGCTTGTAACTGGTCACAGAAATAGCTACGTTAAAGTCAGAGCATACACATTCACCGAGGCACTTTGTACAAATCAAACAGGAGAATTTAACATTGAAATAACTAGGCGAATTTAGCATTGAAATAACTGAGTGATTAGCTAGCGACTGGTCACAGAAATGACTATGTTGAAGTCAAGGCCTACACATCTGAGCTATTCACAGTACTATATAGTGAACCAATAAAAAACTAAAATATAAATTACCTTAATGTTATCCATAAACTCTATATTCTCCAATCAGCTAAGCTACCAACAATAAGTCGTTATATATCACAATGCTATATGGTGAAAAATGGGTGGATTCTTACCCTCAACTTTAGCACCACGGATAGCTACGGGCCCCGTTCAGACGGACGAGTTCATCCATGGTCGAAACAGAGGAGGGGGAGAGAGACAGCTGCGAGGCGCTATTATACTCCATGTTGTAAACCATACCATTAACCGTGGTGTGAAAGGTATTAAGAGTCAATGCCAGCGAAAGAGCTGCGGTCTGAAGATCATCGTAAAATACAATTAATTAAGAACAGAAATGGTTTAAAACATCTTTCCAATGGTTACTAAGCCAGACTCCATCTTCTCGGTTGAAATTGTCTCTGTGCTTGTATATGTGAATGGCCTCATGAACGAATCTCTCATGGTAGCCGGTTGGTTTGCAAAGAACCTCCGTCTTGGAGAAGTCAATGTCATGTGAGCCCACTGAATTATAACAGTGATCTGCCACGGCAGAGGAGTTCGTCCTACCGTGTTTCAAGTCTGCTTTATGTTCGCGGATGCGGTCCGAGATATGTCGTTTGGTTTCTCCAATGTAGCTACTACCACAGAGGCACTTTAGTTTGTAAACGCCCGGGTACTGTATGTCTGGAACAGCATCTTTTACAGATGGAACTAAATCACGGATTTTATGTACTGTGTTGAATCGGACCTGGATCTTGTGTTTATTCAGGATTTTGGAGATCTTTTTAGTGACCCCTGCAATGCAGGGTAAGGTGATGGTTTTGAGTGGCTCCACAAGAGGATCCTTCTTCATGACTGGAGTGATGGCTTTGCGGATTGTGTAGTCGGAGTAACCATTAGCCCTGAGAGCCTGGTGTACGTGCTTGAGTTCACTGGTAATGTGTTCCTGGTCGGAAATGCATTGGGCTCTATGGTATAGAGCAGTGGTTCTTAACCTGGGTTCGATCGAACCCCAGGGGTTCGGTGAGTCGATCTCAGGGGTTCGGCAGAGCCCCCGCCACGGAGGTCCGGACACACTTGAATTATTGTGTAAATTTGTGATGACACACACGGCCCGCTTGGCCATCACTGGCTGCAGATGATCATGCTACACTGTTTGGCCAATCAGCGCTGTGGGGAATTTAGTGCGTACTCAGTAGTCAACGTGTGACTGTTGTTGTCGTACGTCGTGTGATTTCTTTAATATTTTATCCATACTAACTATGTCGGGCAAAAGAAGAAAGTGGTCGGACGAATATGTACAACATGGATTCTCATGTATCACGGAACGTGATGGGAGTGAGCGTCCTATCTGCATGATTTGCAACGCCAAGTTGAGCAACTCTAGTCTTGCACCGGCAAAACTAAAGGAACACTTCTTGAAGCTGCATGGAGACGGGGAATACAAGAACACAACACTTGCTGAATTCAGGGTGAAGAGAGCCAGATTCGATGAAAGGGCCACTCTGCCTGCTCTTGGATTTGTACCTGTTAACAAACCGATCCTGACAGCATCGTACGAAGTTGCTTACCTGATCGCAAAGCAGGGCAAGCCACACACCATTGGTGAAACACTTGTGAAACCAGCTGCATTAAAGATGGCGAATCTGATACTCGGAACAGCGGCCGAAGGTAAATTATCCCAAATTCCCCTTTCAAATGACACCGTCAGTGACAGAATAGAAGACATGAGTAAAGACATCTTGGCTCAAGTAGTCGCGGATCTGATTTCAAGCCCGGCAAAATTCAGCCTTCAACTCGACGAAACCACAGACGTTTCTGATCTAAGCCAGCTTGCTGTTTTTGTACGCTATGTGAAAGACGACATGATAAAAGAAGAGTTTTTATTTTGTAAGCCTCTTACAACAACAACGAAGGCAGCCGATGTGAAGAAGCTTGTGGATGACTTCTTCAGAGACAACAATCTTTCATGGGATATGGTTTCTGCAGTTTGTACGGACGGAGCTCCAGTCATGCTGGGAAGAAAGTCTGGTTTTGGTGCGCTAGTAAAGGCCGATGCACCACACATCATTGTGACGCATTGTATTCTGCACAGGCATGCGTTGGCAACAAAAACCTTACCTCCAAAAATGGCAGAAGTATTAAAAACTGTGGTGGAATGTGTGAACTATGTGCGAAAAAGTGCTCTGAGGCACCGCATCTTCAGTGAGCTGTGTAAAGAAATGGGCTCTGAATTTGAGGTACTTCTGCTCCATTCTAATATTCGGTGGTTATCCCGGGGACAGGTGCTGAATCGTGTTTTTGCCATGCATGTGGAATTAGCCCTGTTTTTGCAAGAGCACCAACACTGCCATGCAGATTGCTTCAAAAATCCTGAGTTCATTCTCATTTTTAGCGTACATGGCTGATATATTCGCAGCTCTCAATCATCTCAATCAGCAGATGCAGGGTGGTGGAGTCAATATCATGGAAGCGGAAGAACACCTGAAGGCTTTTCAAAAAAAGCTACCGTTATGGAAACGACGAACAGAGAACAATAACTTCGCAAACTTCCCGCTTCTGGACGACTGTGCAAGTAAGATCGAAGATGTGTCTGGAATCGGAGATATTTCTGTATCCACGGAACTGAAGCAAACAATTGCCACGCACTTAGATGAGCTTGCAAAGTCTCTCGACGGATATTTCCCTACAAGAGAGTCATATCCAGCATGGGTGAGACAGCCGTTCACGTTTGCTGTTGAAACAGCAGATGTCAATGATGAATTCCTCGACGAAATCATTGAAATTCAGCAGAGCCAGGTTCAACAGCAACTCTTCAGAACAACAACGCTCTCAACGTTTTGGTGTCGACAAATGAACAAGTATCCAGTTATTGCTAAGAAAGCCCTGGATTTTTTTATACCATTTGTTACAACATATCTTTGTGAGCAATCCTTTTCGAGGATGCTGGACATAAAAACGAAGAAAAGGAACAGACTTTGCTGTGAAAATGACATGAGAGTGGCACTTGCCAAGGTGAAGCCACGCATATCTGAACTGATCTCTCAAAGGCAACAGCAGAAGTCACATTGATTTCCAGGCATGTAATTTGTTGTGAGTTTATGCATTGTGTTGGTTTTATTCTTTGAACAAGGTAATGTTCATGCACGGCTCATTTTGTGTACCAGTAAAAAACATATCTATGTCTTGAATTTGAAAAAAATCACATTTTATTTTTCACTAAAGAGGGGTTCGGTGAATGCGCATATGAAACTGGTGGGGTTCGGTACCTCCAACAAGGTTAAGAACCACTGGTATAGAGTCTTGATGAGGGAGTTCTTCTGGGATGGTTGGTGGTGGGAATCCGGTTTCAAGTAAGCATCTGTATGGGTAGCTTTCCTGTAGACAGAGTGGCTCATTGAACCATCATGTCTCCTTTTAATTAAGACATCCAAAAAGGGTAGTTTGCCATCTTTTTCGACCTCCATGGTAAATCTGATGGCTGGGTGTATGGAATTGATGTGGTCGCGGAATTGGTCTAGAGCAGGCTGGCCATGTGGCCAGATGACAAAGGTGTCATCAACGTACCTCTTCCATAAGGTCGGGCTTAGAGTGGCAGTCTGGATGGCGTCAGTTTCAAATTTTTCCATGAATACGTTGGTTACAACCGGAGATAGGGGGGAGCCCATTGGGGTGCCCTCAGTTTGTTTGTAGAAAGTTCCATTCCAGGTGAAGTATGTGTTGATTAAGCAATGTCTCACCAGGGGGGGTACATCAGTATGCAGTCCTTGATGAACCAGGTCTTCAATGATAGCGATGGTGTCAGGTACCGGGATTTTGGTGAACAAGGACACCACATCAAAACTGACAAGCAGGTCGTCTGGGGACAGGGAAATGCCTTTGATTGTCGATACCAGGTGAGTAGAATTTAGTACCGCAGAGGTGGTTTTTCCAGTGAAAGGTCGCAGTATATCAGCAAGAAAACGTGCCAGTTTGTAGGTGGGCGAGTTGATAGTAGAGACGATGGGACGAAGGGGTGTATCTTCTTTGTGTATCTTTGGAAGGCCATATAATCTTGGTGGTCTGGCAGCAGAGGGTTTCAACGAGAACTGTTTGATCTCATCAATTAATGCTGTTGAATCAGAGATGATTTTGTTCGTTTTGGTGACCAGGCTGTTGGTGGGATCTCTTTTTATTTTTGTATAGCTGCCATCGTTGAGTAGCTCTTGAATTTTGTTGTTATATTCTGTTATGTCCATGATGACAGTGGCATTGCCTTTGTCGGCTGAGAGGACGACAATATCATCCCTCTTTTTTAATTGAGATAATTCAA